GTTCTCCTCAACAGAGCTCTGGCCAAACAAATCAACTGTTTTTGTCCAACACTGAGATTTTCTCCGCCTTCAGAGATCTCATGACTCAATCCCTTCTCCAAAGTGTCCACAAATTGCTTGAGATGTGCCGACTCTAAGGCCCTCCAGATATCAGTGTCTGAGTATCGGTTGAGTGGATCCAAATTGAGACGTAATGTTCCGGTGAAGAGCGCCGGGTCTTGAGGTATAATTGTTATCCGAGATCTCAAGTCATATAAACCCAGTGTTTTGATGTCCACTCCGTCTATAAATATGGATCCGTCGACCGGTTCTATGAGTCGGAACAGCGCCAGAGTTAGCGACGACTTTCCGGCACCGGTTCTGCCGACTATTCCCACCTTCTCTTTGGGCCGAACTTCTAATGTAATCTTTTTGAGCACTAAATCCAATCCTTCTCTATATCTAGTGCTGTATTCACTGAATTTTATTTCTCCCCTTTCCGGCCAATCGGGCGATGGTTTTGTCCCCTCATTATACCATTCGGCCTAAAAATTGATTAAAAAACAAAATTAATTATTTATTTAGATATTTACGTTGAGTTTTAATTACTTCAGTCGGAGTTTCTGTGTATTCAAGACATCTCTCAACGGAAACGATATTAGTTTCGAGATCTGACGAAAAGATAACGAATATTATTAAATCACTCGTTATATGAAGTGCATAACTAATGACGAGACCCGCAATACCCGGCGTTAGGTTGGACCGATTAATGACAACAAATACTGCCGACAAAAATACAATACAGTAGCCTAAGAATTCACACCTAATGGCCAGCCATCGTCTGGCCATAAAGCCTGTATAATAACACATATGGTTTTCATCGACCCGTCTATTGGACTCCTGTATGAACTGATGGGACACTCCATACGCTCTAATACTTGTGGAGCCGTTAATTGTTTCACTGAAATGACTATAAATAGGGGAACGAGTGGTGGAGTCAATGCGTTTGAGTTGACGAGAACTTGGAATATATATCTTTTGAATGTAACAAAAGATGAAAGACAAGGGAATGATTGCCGTCAATACGATAGGCGTCTTAAAACTGATCATAAATACGGCGACGAATAGCCTTAAAAACAGTGTTATTGTCATTCGAATACTGACTACAAGCGAAACATCGACTGAATCCATGTCTCGACTGAACCGATTCAGGATTCGTCCGATTGGTGTCGTGTCTGTAAATACAGATATATTAAACAATAAACTAAGTGAACAATTACTACAAATTCCATACCGTAGAAAAGTATAGGAGCTCTTAATATCCGGTCTAACATAAGGCGATGCAATTGTTTCGCAGCTCTAATACATCCCAAACTGATGCAAATGTTTGCGATTAAACTAAAAACAGTGTCAAAAACTGCAATTCCGGCGTAAACTCCGAGTCGTGTGTAACGAAGATTTGTGTCATTTATTTTATTAGCGTCGAGAGAGTCGTCGGACCACTCACTCAGCCATAAGCCCGATAATATCTTAGCCATTACTGTATCGACTGATGTAATAACAATCACAGAACAAAACCACAGACCAATTAAATAAACATATTTTTTATAAACTTTGTGTCCAACAGACTTCGTCTCTGAGCTCTCGATTTGGGTTAACTTTCCACACGATTTATTCGTCGGTTTTGTTTGAATACTATTTGTACGTCTATTCTGTTGAGAACTCATTTTACTTGAAATAAATCGAGATTTGGTTAAGTCTGCTTTCCTGATGCGATCGGTTTCCGAATCAGATTCAAAAGTCGGTTTGATTTGTGTTTTCAATTCATCAATAATTTTCTTGTCTTCATTTTCGAGTTCATTGTCCGTCTGTTTCAACAGATATTCGGTCACCAATTCGGCGAAATAACCTTTTGTAGAGATTAATTCGTTATAAGTTCCCGATTCTGAGAAGCGTCCGTTTGTAATGACCACAATTTGGTCCACATTTGGCAAAATAGAGACACAATTTGTAACCAAAATCTTTATTTTGTCTTTTAATAAACCATTTCTACCGATAATTTTTTCAAACAAATGTTTGCCCACATGTGTGTCGACAGCGCTATACAAATCCAATGATTAGTTAATTATACAATTGTTTAAATTATATACTCATGAATACCTCAACGGGTCGTCGAGTAAATAGATATCTCGGTTGGAATAGACAGCCCTCGCCATTGAAACCCTCTGTTTCTGACCGCCGGATAAATTGATACCTTTTTCCCCGATTTCTGTCAGATCTCTGTCCGGAAGTTGAGCCAAGTCTGGCACTAAAGCACACGATTCGAGCACTCGTTCAATTTGTGAACACCGGCCAATAATAGGAATCCCAACAGGTCTTGAAGTTCTTCATAGTTGGTGTCATAAATAAATGTTTGCCATTTCTCAATTAGTATGAGTCACTTATAGTTTTAAAATGTAGATTTATTAATACATTATTTAACTATATATTGAACTCATATTAACCAAAACGTCTTGAATGTCTTGTTTGTCGACATCACTGTTATCACTAACACTCTGTTCAGTATCGGTTGAGTGATTACTTTCATTGACCATATCGTATTCAGCAGTGCTCGACACGTCATCGGCGTCCTCTTCATAGAGCAAATCCTCGAATTTTTGTAGAGTTAATACTGCTTTTCTAATCATCTTAATAACTTAAATGACATTTAAATTAATTAACTATAATTAAATAATTACTATTTGTTTACCTCATAAAATGTGTTATTTAACTCTTAATTTTTAAAAATAAATAATGTTTATTAAAACCCCCATTTTCTTATTTAAATAAGAATATGGGGGTTATATTTTCAACACATAATTTTTTGTTAAAACTTAATACCACAATCAGTACATCTACATTACTCCACTACTCCAGCACTCAATACAAATCCAATACACAACCACTCAGTGCATAGCGGCGGCAGCACAGGAGTTGGCCTGATATCAGGCATCTATAGTATCGAGCAAAGTATTTATTTTTGCCTTTACTCTATGGAGTCACGTGTGGCTGCCGTTGCGCATTGGATCCTCCAAGTATTAGTGAAGCGAAAGGCGCGTTATGCATAACTGTATGCCCACGTCTGCATACAGATTCGCAAAGTTTATACAGTGAAGTGGAGAGGTAGTGCTTGGAAGAGATATGACACTGCACTCACTGCTCCTCTCTCCAGAAAAAGCACTGATTTGTTAAGGGCTCAAAAAGTCAAGAGTTTACTATACTGGCCTACTTTGGGAAGTGACCTCTCTTTGAAAATCAATAACTCGGACACTATAAGAGATAATAACATTTTGATTAATCTATAATTAGCTCAAAGGTTTGATTTAGGAATAGCTGAAGTTTTTTCACACTGACAGCTAAGACTGATTTTTACCGACAATTTTAAACTCGTCAGCCAGTTATCCGGCCAGTAATAGGAACTAACCGTTAAATCCGGGTATTGCGGGTCTGGCTATAAGTTATTCACTTAATATAACTCGATGTCTAACAAATTTAGTGAATTTTACTTCAAATCTTGAAACTAATATCGTTTCGGTTGAAAGATGTCTTGAATACACGGAAATTCCGACAGAACTATTTAATACTCAAAATATTTACTATTTATCTTGAAATACAGTTAATTAATTCAATAATTATCTACTATTTATACAGTATATATAATCTTAAAATGCGGAGAAGTGGCTTAACTGTCAGTGACTCTCTCTTCACTGCACTGCTACTTTCCCTGCATCACACGGGGCTCAAAATGTACAGTTAACTCTCGCTATATAGACTGACAATTAATTTTTATTTTTTAGCGTCAATATCAATTAAAAATAATGGAAATAATTTAATTTTAAAATCAAACCAATTTTGTGGACTACTATTCAAGACATCGGATAAATATAACATATTGTACATTTGCGTAAAATTCATTTGAAAAACAATTGCAATAAATGTCAGAATGTGTTTAAAATTATTTTAAAAAATTAAAACAATTATTTTGAATTAAAGATTAACTTATTAATATTATTTATATTGACGCTAAAACAATAAATTAATTGTCAGTCTATATAGCGAGAGTTAACTGTACTTTCAAGAGCCCCGTGTTATGCAGGAAAAGTCGGGGTGAAGTGAAGAAAAAGTTACTGATAGTTAAGCCACTTCTCCGCATTTTAAGATTAAATATATTGTATAAACATGTATTTAAATTATTGAATACAAATAATTTGTAAATGTATTGATAGGCCGAATGGTATAATGAGGTAACAAAACCATCGCCCGATTGGCCGGAGAACTAAAATCTTGGTGTTGGACGAGGCGACCGCTGGTATGAATTGTTTTATCTGTAATTCAATTTTAAACTAATATACTGTATAATAATAATGTGTTTCAGCGGTTGATATGGCAACGGATGACTTAATCCAAGAGACGATCAGAAAAGAGTTTTGTTTGTCAACTATTGTTACGATCGCTCATCGATTGAATACAATCATAGATTACGACAAAGTGTTGGTAATGGATAAGGGAATGGTAGCCGAGTTTGATTCACCCCATCATCTCTTGCAAAACACTAACTCTATCTTCTATTCAATGGCTAAAGAAGCAAATCTAATAAAATAAATACCTTTATTATTTGTAAGATTTTATATGAAAACAGACTCAATCAATACTAACTAACCATTTAAAAATTTCATCACATAAATTTGTTAAATATATTGATTGCCATTGAATAACATTGCCAAACCTATTTCGGGAGTGGACTTCTTCGGGAGAGGATTACTCCTGAACCACAAGACATAAAGACAAATGAATAGTATTGTTTTGTCATACAATAAATACTGGTTCAAATCAAATTATCATTTAAAAATTTTCGGCTACATTTTATCAATAAATTACGCTTAATAGAAAACACGGATTATTCAATGCAATGGTTAATAACTAATATTTTAAGCTATATAAAAATAAAGATTAAAGAGATAACATAATTAGAATATATAATGGTTTTTGATTATTACAACTGATATTGTATAGTTTATTTATAGTATAACTATTTTATATAGTTTTATATCAATTTTTGCAGAGATTTAATAAATAGATTTATAAATATAAAGTTTTAAATGAAATTTAAAATTTTTGAAATAACTTTCGTCTAATTTTATGTAATAAATGTATTTTAAATTGCTTTTAATATTAGATTATAAATTATTTAACAATATATTTTTGGCGCTAGATACATTTAAGATGATAATCAATTACAAATAATTTACCACAAGTTTTAGCATTTGTTGCGAAATGTTTTCATTTATTTATAAAATACAGAAACTTATGATTTATA